GGCAAGGTAGGTGCGCTCGCGTCATATCTGACATCCTACCCCTCCCTCCCATCCCTTACCATGGCGCAGATCCCCTCTCTACTCGCTCAGTCGCATGGCGAGCAGGGCAATGATCCCGAAAGGGTACGCGATGATGCATTGTAGAGCACGGCATGGCATGGCGTAGAAGAGCACCGCAAAGCGTAGTATCAACCTAGCATTGAATTGCATGCCGTGGCATGGCACGGGAAATGCAGCGGGAGCACGAGTCGAAACGAGCGGAAGCGCGGAAATGAGGCCAGCGCTGCAGCGGGAGCATGATTCGGAACGAGCGGAAGCACGGAAATGAGGCCAGCCCTGCAGCGGGAGCACGATTCGGAACGAGCGGGGCCCGAACATGAGGCCCGCGCCTCAGCGAGAGCAGCATTTTGAAAAAATGCAAGCGAAAACCCAACTCCGGGGAAACCTGTGTGTAAACAAACAGTACGCGGGGGGGGCGGCCACTTTCAAACCGTCATCAGGGGAAGAGGGAGAGTAGTATTCATATTGAGTAATTGTAGAGCAGGGAGGGGGAGGAGGGGGAGGAGGAGGGGGACGAGGAGGAGGAGGAGGAGGAGGAGGAGGCGGAGGGGGAGGAGGAGGAGGAGGAGGAGGAGGAGGTCGAGAGAGTCGAGAGCGGACGGAGGCGGAGTCGGAGGCGGAGTTGGAGGAGGAGGAGGAGGAGGAGGAGGAGGAGGAGGAGGAGGAGGAGGAGGAGGAATACTAATAAGAAGAAGGAGAAGAAACAAAAAGAGGGAGGGAGGGAGGGAGGGAGGGAGGGAGGGGAGGGAGGCAAGCTAGGTGTGCTCGCGTCATATCTGACGTCCTACCCTTCCCTCCCATCCCTTACCATGGCGCTGATTTTCTCTATCCGCGTACGCGTGTCGTAGCGGACCTGTGGCTCCGCGCGCGCGTGCGTAGTGGGTGGTGGTGCGCGTGCGTGCGTGCGTGCGTGTGTGCGTGGTTGTGGTGGTGTGGTGTGGTGTGGTGTGGTGGGGTGCTGGTGTGGTGTGGTGGGTGTGGTGCTGGTGGTGGTGTGGTGCTGGTGCTGGTGTGGTGTGGGTGGTGGTGGTGGTGGTGGTGGTGGTGGTGCGGCGCGGTGGTGGCGGGCGGATGGGCGCGCGAGAAAGAGGCCCGCGCTGGGGCGAGAACGCCATCCTGAACGACGGAGGCCAAACACCGATCCGAAAATGAGGCCCACGCTGCAGCGGAAGCACGATTCGGACCGATTCGGGAGCAGAAATGATGCCGGCGCCTCAGCGAGAGCAGCATTTGGGAACAAAAACGCAGGCGAAAACCCGTTTCCCGGGAATCCTGTGTGTAAGAAAACAGTACGCGGGGGGGGTCAGATATCTTCGGGACGCCATCAGGGGAAGTGGGAGAGTATTTTCATATTGTGTAATTGTGGAGGGGAGGGGAGGGAAGGGGAGGGGAGGGGAGGAGAGGAGGAGCAGGAGGAGGAGGAGGAGGAGGAGGAGGAGGAGGAGGAGGAGGAGGAGGAGGAGGAGGAGGAAGAGGAGAAGGAGGACGAGGAGGACCCAGCAGCAGCAGGAGCAGCACCAGCAGCAGCAGCAGCAGCAGCAGCAGCAGCAGCACAGCATCTTGGGCGCCTGGCAGCTCTCCTGCCCTGCGCGGGGCTGTTCAGGGCGAGTTCGCTGCCGCGGTCGGGCGCGACGGGCTGCTGCTCGGCCCTGCTCGCTCAAGGGCCCGCTAGGCGGCCGCTCTGGCGCGGCGCGTGGAGGAGTTTGCGGCCGCGCAACCCGCTGTCACAGCTGTCCACTTGGCGTGGTCGTTTCTGTCCAAATCCGTTGCTCATGCTCTTTCTTACGACGCGCGGCTGGTACCTTCTACGGTGCTGGGCGCAGTGGCCGAGCCTGTGAGTAACGCGGTGGAGGAGGCGATGCAGCACGCGGTGGTCGCCCGACGGCTGGACGAAGGCGCGCTGCGACAGATGCGCCTCTGCGGCGCCTTCGGGGGCTTGGGTCTGCGCCGCGAGGGCGAGGGCGCCGTTGCTGATGCAGCCCTGTGGGCAGCGTGGTGCTCCATGCAGTTCCGTGTCCGGGTGCTCGCAGCCGCGCTCGGGCTGGGGCGCTTGGCGTGCTCTGGCGAGGCCGACGCTCTCGCGGCCCAGCAGCGCCTCGAGGATGTTGGCGTCGTCGTGGGCCTCCAGGGCGGCGTGAAGTTCGCAGACGACGCCCGGGCCGAATGTAGCGGGGGCCCGTGGTCAAAGGACGTTGCCGTTGATGACCTGGGCGGGCTGAAGCTGCTCCCGGAGGCCTCTCTGCCGCTGCCGTCGCTGGGCGGCGTCCCCGCCAGGGCGCCCAGGCGCCTGGCCAACCGCATTTTCGGGCACCTGGACGCTGCGCGCGCCACCCGGCTGTGGCAGGAGCTGGGCCAGGAGCGAAGGGAGCGAAGGGAAGGCTTGCTGTCCTCTGGGGGGCCCGGCGCGGGAGCGCTCTGGTTGCAGCTCCCCGCGAAGCCGGCGGAGTGGTTCCCGTCCTCTTACTTCCGCGTGGCAGCCATGCGCAGGCTGGGGGCCCTCAGCGCGCCGCCGGGGGGCTGCTACGTGCCGCCTCAGGCCGGGAACTCGGACGAGGTTTGCGGCCACCGGCTGGGCCCGACGTTGAAGCACCAGCAGCCCTGCAAGCGGGGGCCGGCGCGCATGCGACCGCACCGTGCGCTTGCAGCAGCCCTCGCCCCCTCGCCCGGCTCTTGCGCGAGTGCCGTGCTGAAGTTGACATCGAACGCACGGTGCCTGGGGCCGTCCAGGAGGCCGTCCTGGATCTTTTCGTAGCGTCCCCGGGCTGTGTTCAGCCCCTGTACGTCGACGTGTCGATCCGCTGCCCGCACGCGGCGCGCTGTGAGCCGGTGCAGGCGAGTCCGGGCGACGCCGCCAATGCTGCCGTGGACGGCAAGAGGCGGCGGTACGGGAGCGACGTGCTCACCGTCGCCCTGGAGTCATGCGGGCGGCTTGCTGCCGGGACCCGCCGATCGCTGGAACACTTCGCCACGCGCGCTGCTGCATGCCTGCGGGACCAGTGGGCTGCGCCCAGGCTGGTGCCGCGCTGGAGGGCTGCCCTGGAGCACGGTCGCTGGGCGCTGCGGCAGTGCCTGAGCAGCAGCAGCAGCAGTAGCAGCAACAGCAGCAGGAGCAGCAGCAGCCGCAGCAGCCGCAGCCGCAGCCGCAGCCGCAGCCGCAGCCGCAGCCGCAGCCGCAGCCGCAGCCGCAGCCGCAGCCGCAGCCGCAGCCGCAGCCGCAGCAGCCGCAACCGCAGCCGCAGCTGCAGCAGCAGCAGCCGCAGCCGCAGCCCCAACCGCAGCCGCAGCCGCAGCAGCAGCAGCAGCAGCAGCATCAGCAGCAGCAGCAGCAGCAGCAGCAACAACAGCAGCAGCAGCAGAAACAGCAGCAGCAGCAGCAGCAACAGCAGCAGCAGCAGCAACAACAGCAACAACATCAACAGCAGCATCAGCAGCAGCAACAGCAGCAACAGCAACCGCAGCAGGATTGGGTTTGCACTTATTCGCAGGGCGGCGTCGTCCAGAGTCTTCTCGCCTCCTGCTGCGTGCTGCTTTCCGTTCCCTCTTCCTCGTCGCGCACGCGGTGGTGCTTTCTAAACTCTGCCTACGTCGTCGACCGACCGACCGACCAATGAGGAGACAGGATGAGAAGGGGGACGCCACATACCGCCAGCGTCGGGTTCAGGACGCTAAGGCTGCCGTGGAAGCAGGCGGGTGACCAGGTGGACTGAGCGGCCGCGGACGCGCGACCCCAGACATCCGCCGACATGTTTCTTTTTGTTTGTTTTTTTTCCATCCGCGGCCTCAGAGGTCCCGGCCCCTCGTCCAGATGTGGCTTCCCGTCCCGGATCCGTTTTTCATGGCCCCCCGGCCCGCTGGCGGGCCCCGGAGGCCGAAGTCCAGGAACAACCGCCAGATTGACAAAACCACGTCTTCGGATTTTTGGGAACGCGCGACCCTCGCCAGCCCTGGCGGCAGGCCCTGGTGCGGCGGTGCCTATCACGCCGCGCCCCAGGGGGACGTCGAGGGCGCGCCTCGCCGATCCTGGCCGGCTCGAGCCCGGGCCCGGGCCCGGCGTCCCTCCTCCTTGTCCTCCTCTGTCCTTCTCCTTCTCCCTCCCAGTTTTTCGGCAACACCCCAACATACTTATACTATATGTGCGTCGCCCCCCCAGGGGCGACGCGCGCACCGAGAAATCTTATAGTATATGCGTCGTGGCGGGCGCTTTCTGGCCACACCGCTCGGGAAACGATATACTACAAGATGGGTATACTATATGTTCGGGTCGGACGCGCGCCTCCAAGGAGGACATGTAGTACTAGTATGTCTTTGTGCTTCCCAGTTTTCGTCCCCTCTCCCCCAATCCTCCTCCCTTCCTGGCCTCATGAATCAAGGGCCTTTAGAACGCCCCTGCCCTGGTTTACGAGGCGCTGTGCGCTGAAACTCCTGTGGGCTGACAGGGTAAGCCCTGCGTGAAGTGCCGCGTCCTGGCGGCTCTAGGCTTTGGGGGTTCCCAGGAGGTTTGCAGACCACGCACTTGTAACCCAGGGTAGGGTCGTTCCTCCCATCCCTCAAACGAACAATTCCTTCCCGTCGCACCCCGAGGCCAGTCGAAGGGGCGGGCGGGGGCAGGGCGGACGAGGGGAGGGGGGCCAGTCCAGGAGGGCGCATGCACGGATCTCTGGGGACCCAGGGTCGGGCCTGCCAGCCCCGAGGCCCGACGTCGGGGTTAAACACTGCAGCACGGTAAAACATCGCGCCGGGAGCCCCGGACCCCATTTTTGTGCGTCATGCTCGAGCCGGATCTTGGAGGGAGGAGAAGCGGCACCACCACCACCAGGGGGGCCACCTCCATTGAGGAGGTTCACGATGCCTCCCCGAAGTCCAAGCTGGGGGTGTCTCGAGCGAAAAGGGGGGGGGCCACACCATCTGGAGACCCCCCTTGCTCCTCGCATCTCCTCGCCCTGGTGGTGTTGGTTTTGGCCTTCCTTGCTCCTACGGATCGACCCGTGAGGCTCCCGGGCCCCGAACCGAAAAGGCAAAAGCGCCTGGCCCGAAACATTGAGACGCCAGGATCTCAGGGAGGATCGGTGAAGCGGTCGGTCCCGTGGTGTCCCCCGAGCTTTTGCCGCGGTGGCCCGTCCACTCGGAGGGCGCCGGAGGTGGGGTCAGGGCGAGAGGGGACTACCGTCTATTCGAAGGCGATAGGCGTTGTGAGCTCGGAGCATCCTTGTCTCTGAGAAGCGCCTGCCGAATTCAGAAATGCCGCCCTTGTCGTAGGAGGAAAAGGTACCCCTACCGCTACCGTTCCCTCGTTTTTTCCTTTCTGGGGCTCCTCGGAGGCCCTCGCCGCCACCGCCGGATGCGCCGAGATTCTAGGCAGAACGCGCCCGTGGAGAGGTCCGTGGAGTAGCGCATTGCCGAGGCATGCGTCTGTGGGTCGGGCTCGCGCTGGGCCGCAAGCGCCCCCAGTCGGCGTCGGGCAGCACCCGACGTCCTGGATGTATGATGGGCCAGCAGGCTGCTGCGCACCCGCTCCGCGCCTTCGGCCTCTCTCAGAAGAGGTCCCGGATGCCCTCCCTCGCGCTGGGCTCGGAAGGAGGAGGAGGAGGAGGAGGAGGAGGAGGAGGAGGAGGAGGAGGAGGAGGAGGAGGAGGAGGAGGAGGATGGAGGAGAGCAGGAGGAGGAGGAGGAGGGGAGGAGGAGGAGGAGGAGGAGGAGGAGGAGGGGGCGGAGGAGGAAGAGGAGGAGAGGAGGGAGGAGGAGGAGGAGGACGGGAGGAGGAGGAGGAGGAGGAGGAGGAGGAGAGGAGGAGGAGGAGGAGGAGGAGGAGGAGGAGGAGGAGGAGGAGGAGCTGGAGGCGCACAGCCAACGTGCACGTCCTTCAGCCGTACCCTGGCGTCGCCGCCAGGGTTCGTGGCGGTGGCCCCCCCCCCACACCCCCCGACCTGCCTCCCCCGCTCGCGTCGCAGGGTCGCAGGGGCTGCCGAGGGCGGTCCGGCAGAATTCCGTGGGCAGGTCGAGAGGCCAGCGGGGACACGCCCTGGCCGCTCTTGGCTCGGCCAGTGCCTGCCCGACTGCCTCTGCCGTGCGCGTCACCGGGCAGACCTTGTTCCAGATGCACTGGGGGGTGCCACGGCACGGTTGACGCGGCCCGAGGGCTCCGGCCCCCGCGCACGCTCTCGAGGGCCCCGCCCCCGGCGGTACCGCACGCTGGCCGCTGCAGAGGTGTAGTTGCAGAGCTTCCGAGCAAGGCCTTCGCATCAGGAGGAGGGCGCCCGCCGTCTGCAGCGGCGAGGCCGGGGAAGTCCTGGCAGCATCAGGGCTGCCGGGCCGGAGCCCACCTCCTCCTCTTCCTCCTCCTCCTCCTCCTCCTCCTCCATCTCCATCTCCTCCTGCTCCTCCTCCATCTCCTTCTCCTCCTCCTCCTCCTCCTCCTCCTCCTCCTCCTCCTCCTCGAGAGGCCCTTCTCGCAGGGAGTCGGGCCCCCTGTGGCTGGCTGAGCCCCCCCTTCTCTCCCCCCCTCTTCGCGTCTCTGGACTGGCGGGGCCACCGCGGCTGGCCCCCCTGCCTCGCCGCGCCCAGGCAGCTCCCCTTTTCCAGGCTCGGCGGGCCTGGAGGTCCGGCGGGGAGGCCGCGAGCCTCTCGGATGAGGTCGGCGACCCTCACTGCGTGTGTTCCACCGCCCGCGTCTCTAGGCTTCTCAGGTATCGGGCGACGAAGTCTATACATCGAAGAAGAATAATCCTACGAATAAGAATGATAATAATACTAATAATGATGTATAAGGAGAAGGAGTGGAAGGAATGGAGGAGGGGGAGGAGGAGCGGGAGGAGGAGGAGGAGGATGAGGAGGAGGAGGATGCTGAGGAGGAGGAGGAGGGGGAGGAGGAGGAGGAGGAGGGGGAGGAGGAGAAGGTGGAACAATACTACTACTACTACTACTACAACTACTACTACTACTACTACTACTACTACTACTACTACTACTACTACTACTACTACTACTACTACGACTAATACTAATACTAATACTAATACTAATAATAATGCTACTACTAAAATAGTAATACTACTAACAATAATAATACTAATCATAATAATAATATTAATACTAATAATAGTAATAATGATAGTAATACTAATACTAATAACAATGATAATATTAATACTACTAGTAATACTAATACTAATGCTAGTAATACTAATAATACTAACAACAATAATACTAATACTATTACTAATACTAATAATAGTATTATTATTAATAATACTAATACTACTACTACTACTAATCATACTAATAATAATAATCATAATAATCATAATACTACCACTAATACTACTAATAATACTAATACTAATGGAAATAATAATAATACTCATAATACTACTACTTATAATGATGATAACAATACTACTAATGATAAGGAAGAGGAGGATAATTATAATGATACTGATAATATTAACAATAAGAATACTGGAACCACACGCGCACTTCGCGCGCTTAGGTTCTAGTAGTAATATTAATAAGGAAAAAGAGGAGTACTAACAATAATGATAATAATAACAAACATAAGACGACTAATACTAAACAACGGCATTAACATAAACTCTTGGCGCTCCGCACAGATATCTTGGATCCGCGCTGGGACCCCCAGGCGGCGCCACCGGCCCCGCCCCTGGCGCGCTCCGCGCGCCAGGGAGGGGATCCAGCGCAGATCCAAGAAGCCCGCGCGGAGCGCCAAAAGTTCATGTTTGTGCCTGTGTTCTTTGAGTCTATACAAATCCACTGCTCCCTGGCCAGGCCGATCCTGGACCCAGGAGCTGTGTGTACGCCCTCCCGGCCAAGCAGCGACGGCGTGGCGTATGCACCGCTGCTTGTGTCGGGGTGGGCCTGGCAGGGGAGCAGTGTATATGCATAGATCTCGTCGCCCTGAGGTAGGGTCCGAGTACATGGGGTCGGAGGATCGCGCCGCATCGCCGATGCATCGGCGATGCGGCTCGATGTGGAGCCCGATCCTCTCCACGCCGGCGTCGCCGGTGCATCGCCGACGTCGCCGATGCACAGCCGATGCGTCGGCGATGCGGCGCGATCCTCCAACCCCACTTCTTCGGACCCCACTGGGGAGGCCCCTAGCGTCGCATGGCAGGGCTTCGGTGGAGAAGTGCGCGTCGGCGCTAACTCAGGAGGAAAAGAAACACACAGACACAATTAATCGCCGACTCCCCAGAAAATATGGGAAAATATGGGAAGTGGGGGGGAAGACAGAAACCCAGAAAATATGGGAAAATATGGGGCATCTTTTTATTTGTGTGTATTTATTTGTGTGTCCCAGGGCCCCTTCACTAACGCGCGTTCTGAGGATCGCCGATCTGAGCGTCCACGCGACCGATGGGGTCTGGCACCGGAAGCTCGCGCTCCGCCGCGAAAAGGCGCGCGCGCGCGCGCCCCACCTGCGTCGTCGGGCGCGCGGCTCGCTCGCGTCCGCTCCTGGAGGGCACGAGGGGGGCGAGAGGTCCCTCGGGGGACGAGGCAGGCAGGAGGACGGGGGGGAGGACGGAGAGGAGGAGGGGGAGAAGGAGGACGGGGAGGAGGAGGGGGAGGAGGAGGGGTCAGAAGAAGGGCGGGGAAGGACTAGGAGGATGATGGGGGAGAGGCGGGTTGGCCGGACAGCCGCTGTGGGCGAGCGTGCCCCATAGCCTGCCTAAGAACAGGATGGGGAGGAAGAGGAGGCCCCGAGGATGGCCGCGGCAGGGTGGATTCCTGGGTGATGCGCCAGGGCTCTGGAGAACTAGTTCTAAGCAGCCTTCGGACCGGAGACCGATCTTTCCTGATGTTGCCAGAGATGTGGTGGAGTGCTGATGGAAGGGCAGCAGCAACATCATGAACTTCTGCTGGGGGAGGAAGCGCACGGGGAGGAACCCGAGAAGAGGGAGGAGGGAGGGTGAGAGGAGTTGGGGAAGAGGTAGCGTGTGGAAGGACGGGGAGGCGGAGAGAAAGGACCAGGAGCAGAGGGCTCGGAGGAGGGGGATCGGGGGGCCCTCTGGCCCCGCTGTGGTCCTCCGCGGGCGGGTCCGGCCGCCTCTGGCGTACGCCCCATCGAGGCCTCCTCCTCCTCCACCGTCTCCTCCTCCTCCTCCTCCTCGTCCTCCTCCTCCTCCTCCTTGTCCTCCTCCTTCTTTTCTTCCTCCTCCTCCTCCTCCTCCACCATCTCCTACTCGTCGTCCTCCTCCTCCTCCTTGTCTTCCTCCTCCTTCTTCTTGTCTTCCTCCTCCTCCTCCTTCTCCTTCTCCTCCCTCTCCAGGTCCGTCTCTCCTTCGCTCTGCTGCTGCTTCTGATACCCGGCGCATGCTCCTGCCTCAGCGCGCGTTCCGCGCTCGCCCAGGCTGTGCCGGCCAGCTTTGGACTCTTCCACGCTCTTCTCCTCCTCCGCCTCCTTCTCCTCCGCCTCCTCCTCCTCCTTCTTCTTCTTCTTCTTCTTCTTCTTCTTCTTCTTCTTCCTCATCCTTGTCCACAGAAAACATATGGGCCGATGGCGAGGGCCCCATCCGCGTGCAGCGGAGGGGGGCTTCAGAAGCCTGCCCTACGGCGCAGCTCACCCCGCGGCTCCCAAGGCGCCAGTGCGCGGGGGGCGCCGCCCCTGGGGGACGAGATGGGAGGTCGCTGGGGCGGCGCCGTGCCGCGCCGGCCGCGGTCTTTGCCTGCCCGGCAGGCCCGCCAGCGCCCATCGCCGTCGCTGTCGCCGTCGCCGTCGCCGTCGCCGTCGCCGTCGCCGTCGCCGTCGCCGTCGCCGTCGCCGTCGCCGTCGTCGTCGTCGTCGTCGTCGTCGTCGTCGTCGTCGTCGTCGTCGTCTCTTTTTCATCGTCGTTGTTTTCGTCGTCGTCGGAGGGCGGGGAGGGGGCGGCGAGGGAGGGGGCGGCGAGGGGTGAGGGTGGAGGGGTGGGAGACGGAGGAGGAGGAGGAGGAGGAGGAGGAGGAGGAGGGGAGGAGGAGGAGGAGGAGAGAGGAGGAGGGGAGGAGGAGGAGGAGAGAGGAGGAGGAGGCGGAGGAGGAGGAGGAGGAGGAGGAGGAGGAGGAGCAGGAGAGGAGGAGGAGGAGGAGGAGGAGGAGGAGGAGGAGGAGGAGGAGGAGGAGGAGGAGGAGGAGGGAGGAGGAGGAGGGAGGAGGAGGAGAGAAGGAGGGAAGGAAGGACGAAGGAGGAAGGAGGAGGAGCAGGAGGAGGAGGAAGGAGGAAGGAGGAAGGAGGAAGGAGGAAGGAGGAAGGAGGACGGAAGGAAGTAGGACGGAGGGAAGGAAGGAAAGAAGGAAGGAAGGAGGAAGGAAGAATGAGGAAAGAGTAATGGAGCGTGACACGGCGGGATGGGAGCATGGAATCTACACCCATTTCGCCCAGGTTGCCCAGTTCGATACGGGGACGCTTTTCTCGGACCTATCAAAACTCTATGAGAGGATGTCGCACTTCCACCTCATGGACCAGGGGTAAAAGGCGCGTTTCCCGATTCGTCTCATTTGGCTGGCATACACGTTGTATAGTGGGCCCCGCACCATCACCTTCCAGAGTGCTATTTCGGAGGTTTTTCGTGTCAGTGGAACGGTGCTTGCAGGATGCTCGCTAGCTGTGGCGATGGCCACGGTGCTGATGTATGACCTCCTCACCTCCCTTGCGCGAACGTGCCCAGTGGTAATGGTCCACAGTGTCGTGGATGATGTCCACGTCCAAGTGGTGGGCACCAGGGAGTTTGTGGCTGATCAGCTGGGACGAGCAGGCCGCGCCTTGGCGGCTGCGTGCAACAGACTTGAGCTCTTGCTTGCGGAAAAGAAAATCCACTTCATCGCGTCGGCGCTCGAGTTGGCCGTGGACTTGTCGTCCTTTTGGGTTGGGCTGCTGTTCTTCCGCAAGTATTCCACCAAGTCATTGAGTACTGATGCGCATGCCAGCCACAGGAGAGTGATGACAACTGCTTCTAAGCGAGTGAAGAAAGGTTTTCGGAGGTCCTACAAGCTGCAGAAACTTCAGAAGGCGGGCGCAAAGGTTGGAGGCATCCAGCGGGCTGGACCTCAAGTGGCAGCCCTCTGGGGTTCAGGAGTCTCGGGTCTCTCGGCGAAGCAGTTGCTTGGTCTGAGGCGCGCGGCTGTACATAGCCTGCACAGGCAGACGAAGGGGGCCTCCACTGGTTTGAAGATTGCGACCACCAGAGCTGGCCGCCTAATGGACCCCCAGAGGCTGTCCCATGCACAGGATATATGACACTGGGCCAGAGCGGTCTGGCTGGCTAGGCCCCCCTGCAGGTCCTCCAGGGCACTTTAGAAGGGGCTGCTGCAGACCTCAGCCAGGCACAGAGCCCGTGGAGCGTTGCGTCCAGCCCCGCCCATGTGCTCCTCCTTTCCCTTCAGCAGTTGGGGTGGCAAGCCCAAACTGCGGCGCAAATGGTCATCGACACTGGCGAATTGATCGACCTTCGCTTGGTTGCACCCAAACAAATACAATTGATGGCTGCGCGTGCAGCCAGTAGTTTGTCATATGTGATGGCTTTGATTAGGCTTGAAGACGAGCGCCCCTGGGTCAGACCAATTTTTTGGAAACCCCTGGTCCAGCTTCTTTCGGCTCCAACCACTGATGACTGGACTGAGAGGCACAAGGAATCGCTCCGCTCCATCATTGCTCAGCAGCAGTAGTGTCAGGCCAACCTGGCTCGACGCGGCAAGGCGGACACCGACTCCTGCCAGCTGAGTGGCATGGCGTCTGGATCTGTGTGGCATCGTAGGTTTAGATGTGTGCACGGGCAAGAGGCAAGAAGTATATTAGTTTCCCCCTGGTTTGTTTGCTACAGGCTGCGGCGGCGCTACAGCCAACTGAGCAGGATCTTGGGAAGGCCGCCGGCGGCCGATTCCCGTTCCCCATCGAGCTGGTTCCGAGGCCTTCTTGGGGCTCGGGGGTAGAATCTCCTGGGCCAAGAAACCTGAGCGTGGCTACATTTCAGGCTCGTGTTGCTTTATTATTTCCCGATGGCCCGGCCATCTCTGTAAGAACGGTTTTTTGAAGGCAGATCTGCCTTCACTGTAAGAACGGTTTTTTGAAGGCAGATCTGCCTTCAAAAACCCGTTCTTACAGAGTAGACCATTTTTTGAAGGCAGATCTGCCTTCAAAAAACCGTTCTTTTTTGAAGGCAGATTTGCCTTTTAAAAACCGTTCTTACAGAGCCAACCTGCCCTCTGGCGAGGAGAGCGGGTCGGAGCCTTGTGCAGCTCCGTGACGACGGCCCGCTGCTTGCCGCCGCGTAGGGTCCTGTGCTGGGGCACCTCGGTCCGTTCCAAGCTGCCCGTGACGGCGAAGACGTGGCCATATTGATGACGGCCCGTGGCCGTGTCGGAGGAGAGGCAACCTTGACATATCCACTGTCAGGGAACAGTGGGTTGCCCGCTCGATCCGTCCAGTGCGCGTCACCCGGCCACCCCCAGATGCCATATTTTTGGGAGAAGGTGCACCGATCCATGCCTGGAGCGAGAGGGCGATCCAGGCGAAGGCGCATCTTCCGTTCGGCGCGGTGACAGAAGCCAGGAGCTCGGAGTTGCATGGGGCTGGGAACAGGGCTACGTAATTCAGATTTCGTGATAAGAGGGAGGGGGTCTGGACCCTCCAAGACAAGCCATTTCAGACCTCCCTCGTGGGAGAACCCTCCAAAACATCGTCCCCAGACCCCCCCAGGCCCTCCAAGATAGCCTGGAAGAGACCCCCCCCGAAATGAGACCCCCCTCCCTTTATTACGACATCTGGAGTACATATCTGCATACAGGCCAAGGAGCCGCACACCACCCTGACCCTGGCCCTGGATCGGAGGCCTGAGACGGCCTCCAGAGAGTTGTGACGGGCTTTGCCAGCTGGGCCGCCGCCCAGGAGGCCCTCGCTGCGGAGGCCGAGACCTTTCATTCTCTCCCTCTCCCCCCTCTTCGGCCTCGGAATGGGGGGCGGGACGTGGGCGGCGCTGGGGCGGTGGACGTGACCGTGAGGAGGGCCCCGAGGCCACCGCCGGTGGGGGACCGATCGGGGTGACGGCCCGAGCTTGCGGCAGCAAGGTGCGAAGAGCTTCGGGCCTCTGCTGCGCCGCAGGGCCCCCCGTTGCAGGCGGCGGAGGTCATGCTCCCCTCGTAGCTGCCGCATGCCCCCCCCAAAGCCTGACATGGTTTTTGCATGCTTGGCGTGCGGAGGCTACGCGTGGGGGGGGCAGTCGCACCAGTCTAGCGCGAAGGTGTGACCGCCGTCCGACGATGGTAACCTTTGCGCGCCAGCTGAAAAGAGCCGCCAATGAACGCTTTCCCTGTGGCTCCAGGCAGTACTCTGGATGGTCCACTGGGGCTCGGAGGCCCCCATCGCCGCAGGCCCTGACGGACCTCTTGGCGCCCACGGCGCGCCACTTGGCCCTGGACCCTCGGTTGAAACCTGGGGCCCTTGGTTCAATTCAGATGTGCTGCTCGCTCGATTCGGCCTCAACCAGGAATCCCTCGAAGCGCTGATCCAGGAGAGGAGGCTGATGTTGCAGCGTTAACGTGCGAATGGCTCTCGTCACAGTGACGAGTAAGAGTTTACTTGCATTCTCTGTTCCGTTGAATGCCTCTGGCGCCTCGGCATGTGGGAATGAATGAACGAGGAGGAGGAGGAGGAGGAGAAGGATGAGGTGGAGGAGGAGGAGGAGGAGGAGGAGGAGGAGGAGGAGGAGGAGGAGGAGGAGGTGGACGGGGATGAGGAGGAGGAAGAGGAGGAGAGATGGAAGAGGAGATATGGAGAGAGAAGGGTGATCTTGTTGATTCTGATGAGGATAATGGCGGTGATAATGATGATGATGATGATGATGCTGATGATGATGATGATGATGATGATGATGATGATGATGATGATCATGATGCTGATGAGGATGCTGATGATGCTGTTGATGGTGATGATGAGGATGATGATGATGGTGATACTGGTGATACTGGTGATGGTGGTGATGATGATGATGAGGATGAGGATGATGATGCTGATGATGAGGATGAGGATGAGGATGATGCTGATGATGAGGATGAGGATGATGCTGCTGATGATGCTGCTGATGATGATGATGATGATGATGATGATGATGTTGGTGGTGATGATGATGCTGATGCTGATGCTGATGATGACGGTGATGCTCATGATGATGATGTCGGTGGTGTTCGTGGTGAGGATGCTGCTGCTGCTGTTGAGGATGGCGAGGAGGATGATGCATATTTAGAAACGCAATAGGTATAAGGAACATACGAGGCGGAATAACAAGAAGAGGAGGAGGATAATGAGGAGGGAGGAGGAGGATGAGGGGGAGGAGGAGGAGAAGCGGAGCGAAAATTATGATGATGGCGATTATGGTGATGCTGAGGAGGACGCGGGGGAAGAGGAGGTGGAGGAATAATAGTAATACTATTTTGATGAAGAGGAGGATGAGGATGAGGAGGAAGGAGAGGAGGATTGCACGCCGCTCAGGGAGAGAGAGAGAGAGAGAGAGAGAGAGAGAGACAGAGAAAAAAAGAGAATCCGACGGTCCAGCAAAACCCCGGGGGGGTCCATCGGAGAGGACCTTTTTGTCTCCCTGGCAGGAAGGCCGAAGACCTGCCAGGGGCCAAGACAGGACCCCCCCCTTAGGAAACAAACATAACCGTCATGGTCGTCGTCGGGCAAGTCCGCCCGCTCCTCATGCAGAAATCTGGTCCCCAGGCTTCGGGCTTCATCCCCGTTGAGACCAACAGCCTGCAGGCAGCCAGCCATGCAGAGATCCCGCCCAGCTTGGCGACTCATGGCCGCACCGCTCTGCTCTCCCCTTGGCTGGGCCCCTGACGGAACGAAGGACCCGCCGAACAGCTCCCGCGCCAAACCCCCAGGAGAGACCCAAGGGCCCAGCCTAAGAGGGCGGTTCGGATGCTTGCCCTTGGAAAAAGCACGCTTATTCTTGCGAGCAGAAAGAAAAACGCCCCTGGAATCCGCTCCCCCCCCCGTGACCCGCAATGTGGGTCTTGGGGTTGGGTTGGGGTGGTCTGGCCGGTAGCCATCGTCGGCCCCGCGGCCTCCTGCGGTCGGCTTCCGCCTGCTGCCACTGCCGCTGGCAGCCGGCGCGTCAGGCCGCCAGCGGCGCCTCGTGTGCGTCGCGGCCGACCTGGGTGGCCCCAGGCGGCCGAGAGGCGGCCGAGGGGCACGGCTGGCGCCAGCAGGCCTGCGGAGGAGGGATGCGAGGAGCGAGCAGGGAGGACACACAGCGGAGGGAGGCGGAGGAGGAGGAGGGGGAAGGCGGAGGAGGAGGAGGAGGAGGAGGAGGGGGAAGGCGGAGGAGGGAGGAAGAGGGGAAGGCGGGAGGAGGAGGGGGAAGGCGGAGGAGGAGGGGGATGAGGAGGAAGGCGGAGGAGGAGGAGGAGGAGGAGGAGAGGAGGAGGAGGAGGAGGAGGAGGAGGAGGGAGGAGGAGGATGGAGGAGGAGGAGGAGGAGGAGGAGGAGAAAGAGGAGGATGGAGGAGGAGGAGGAGGAGGATGGAGGAGGGGGGGAAGCGCGGCATCCTGAGTTCTCGTGTCTAAAGAGTAGATGGTTGATCCCCCCTCTGGTGCGCGAAGTGTTTTCTAATGACAGTGCTCCTCCTGGGGCTTGCACCTCGGTTATTGCAAGGGAAAGTCTTCCTCTATACGTATATCGTGTTGCTGGCCCCCGAACTTCAACAACAACGGATCCCGCCTGATACTTCCTCACAAATTGTTTGAACATCGCGCTCTCGCGCGGAACTTCTTCACCATTTATGTAGGAATCGTGGTCTCGCGTGGGACTTCCTTTCAAGTGTTGTCGTTCTGGCGCCGCGGCTCGCTGCCGCCGTCGGGATCCTCGTTGGACTTCCCACCCCGTCGTCTGTGCTACCCGACAGGCTGGGGCTGACGTCCTCGGGTCGTTCCCTTGTCCGCACCTGGACGTTGGAACGTTATCGCGCCATTTTGGCTGCGCTAGGTCGTCTCGGTGCCTACCTCAGGCCTGTTGGACGCACCCGCATGCCCGTTCAGGGGCTGTCATGGCACCTGGATTGCATCGGCTTCGCCCCCCTGGACGCTGTCGTGAGCCGCCTGATCCGCGGCCCTGCGCGCGTTAGGTAATTTAGTCGCGTCCGCGGCCCGTTCGCGACCTTCCGCCGCTGGCGCTTCCGCCTGCGGCTGTACAAAAAAGTATCCCCACCAGGATATCCAGAACAAACAGGAGAGTTGAGGTGATCAGGGAAGTGTGGGAGCAAGAGAGGAGGGGGCAGCTGTTATCTTTCAAAGGTGAGGAGAAGGATGAGGAGGAGGATGAGGAGGAGGACATGGAGGAGCAGGACATGGAGAAGGAGGAGAAGGACATGGAGGACCAGTGTAAACCCAAGAGTCATCAACGATGTTGGAGTAAAGCGTCCCTCCAAGCTCCCTCTCCATAGGCCCCTACAGCTGTTCATTTTCATTGATGGAACTGCCTCGTTGGCAGACACCCGTTTGAAGACCCTGAAGCATGCCAAAACATTGTTCTCGGGATTCCAACGCCACGGATCAACTTGACTGTTGCGTCTTGACGATCATGAACCGTACCAGAAAGCCATTTCTAGGGCTTCAACAAAATCAGAACTTCAAGGCCATCGCAGATGGCAACACTACGCTGAACAGGATTTCCGCTTCCTCTTCCACGTTCTCTTCTTCGTCGTCTCTGGGCAGCCATCGCTGCGATCTCCACGTGGCCAATTATTGCGAACCTTGTGCCTGCGGCACGGTCGTAATTATGAACAACGCTGCGTTTATTTTGAGCAGCGGGAAGGCGAACGTCCAGAGATGACGAGCCGCAGGCAATGGGCCCCCTCGCGGATGCAGCCTCAGATGCAACAGCGCTCAGGCCACGATGTGGTTGACCGCGCCGAGCAAGAGCAAGAGGTGCTGCCGCGCTGCTTGCTAAGCCCAGAGTCGTCGAAACACACATCGTCCAATGGCCTTGTCTCCTCACGCTGCATCCTTTCTGTTTGCTTTCAGCGTACTTCCGAGACCCGCGACCCTATGCCGCCGCCGCCGCATAACGAGCGGTCCTCACAGCTGAACTTCAGGGCTACACAGAAACCTGCTGGCGTCTCGGAAGATTTGCTGCACGCGCCAGCTTCCTTGGCAGCTTCGGCGTCCCTGGAGGCCGCTTCCGTGTCGTGGCGCAATTTGCTTCAGCAGTGTCCCCGTTTTGATTGCTCTTCCGCCAGCGCAGAAACTCTGCCTAGCCGCCGACGAAACAAGTTCATACGATGTGTGCATCGCGTTTCAGGGGAAACGCGCGCGCTCAGAACTCGTATCGTATATGTTCGGTGGCGGTCCGCTTTCTGGCCATACCGCCTCGATAAGGATGCACCATATGATGTTTGTGCACCATTTGTGGAGGACGGTCAATGGAGAGGAAGCATGTTGCCAAATACTTTCCAGATGTCTAAAACATGTGTTGAACATGCTTTAAACATGGAAAACATGTTCAAAACATGTTTATATTAATTTTCCGACATTTTAGACACATTTTAATTCAATGATAGGACTGTTAGGGTGTCCATTGTCGTGGCATCCACAATGCTACATGTTCGGTTTGGACGTGCGCCTCCAAAGGGTGCGCATAATATGAGCCACCAGAGGAGAACAAAACAAAAACACCACCAGCCACGGGGGCTGGCCGCTCCCCCTCCCAAGCTGGTGGTACCCTGTTCTGGGCGCGCCCCCAGAGAGTGCCCAGCACGGAGTGCTGCCAGCTCGGAGGAGTGGCCTTTGGGCTAAGTTTGTGGATGACGATCAATGGAGAGGAAGCATGTTGCCAAATAATTTCCAGATGTCTAGAAGATGTGTTAAGACTGTTTAACACATGCAGGAACATGTTTAAACTATTTACATGATATTTCCCGACATATTCAACACATGTTTCATTCGATGATAGGACTGTTAGGGTGTCCATTGTCGTGGCATCCACAAGGCTAAGTGGTGCCGGCTTTTTTGGCGCGTCCTTTTGCGTCTCACTTTGGATTTGCGAAGGACGTCCCGCGGCGAATCAATGGCCCAGGGATGGGGTCGAGACATCCTCGTCCCACGTCGCTCAAGAACGGCCCGGGAGGTCAGGGTGCCCCCCATCATGGAAGCGTAGGCACTCACCGAGGCCTTCAGCGGCCATCCTGGAGGCTCTGTGGGCTTTCGCCTTGCATCTGCGGCGCCTCGGGGCCTCCATGCTTCTTCCGCCCTCAGCCGACCCGCATCGTAAGGATGAGCGGTTCCAAGGATACCCTTTGCGTCCTTCCCCTTCGGCCCTGGCCGCGCCCCGCCCGCACAGTGCCGAGGTGGCCTTCCAGGGCCCTTGCATCCTGATCGTGCGCCCTTCTGCTGCGGGTTGACCGTGCCCCTCCTCCACCCTCCGCTGCTCCTCCCTCTCCCCTTCCTCCTTTGTCTTTTCTCCTTTCTTGATTTTTCTTTCTCCTTTCTCCTCCCCTTCCTCCTTTCTCCTTTCCTCCTTTCTCCTTTCTCCCTTCCTTCCTCCTTTCCCTTTCCCCTCCCTCTCCTTCTCTTGATCGCTGTCCTTCCTCCTTTCCTCCCCCTACCCCCCCTCCGGGTGGAGGACAGGAGCCCAGATCCGTGCGGGACGGGCGGGCGCCTGGGAAGCGGCCCCCGCCCCGGCCGGGCGGGGGAGGCGCGACGGCTCTGGCAGCAGCGGCTTCCGAGCGGCCTGCGAACGGGAGGTCACGGAGGAGGAGGAGGAGGAGGAGGATGAGGATGGAGGAGGAGGAGGAGGAGGAGGAGGAGGAGGAGGAGGAGGAGGAGGAGGAGGAGGAGGAGGAGGAGGAGGAGGAGGAAGGAGGAAGGAGGAAGGAGGAGCTGCTCCCCGTCCGGGCCCCGCGCCCGGGCCCGGGAGCGGCGTGCGCGCCCTCCCGGCCGGGGCATGGGAGGAGGCGGGCGCAGAGCCCGCTGCCTGGGCCGAGGAGGGGCCCGGCCAGGGGGGAGCGGAGGTGCGTTTGGGCGTTGCGTAATGGAGGGGTCATAAATGGGGGGGTGTCGCGGGTGGTCCGAAAAGGTACCCAAACGGTGCCTAAACGAGCCCCCTGGGGCTCCAGAGGGGCTCGAAAGGGGCACGAAAGGGGACCGTTTCTGGCCCCCCCATTTATGACCCCCCCATTAAGCAACGCCCAATGCGTGCAGATGTCGTCGCCCCCTGGCGCGCTCCGCGCGCCAGGGAGGGGGGTATAGCGCCGATCCGGGAAATCCGCGCGGACCTCCCTGGGTTTTTGTGTGTATGCCGCGCTTTGTTCCCCTGTGCACGACGCGGGGCTCGTCGGGCTTCTGGCGGCCCGCCGTGGAGAACAGCACCGACCAGATCGTGGAGGGGTGCCTCCGGCAGGTCGCCAACGCCAGCGTCCTGGTGAGGAATCTGGACGCCCGAGATGGGCACGGAAAGAATGGGTACGGTGCCCAACAGCAGTTCCTGTTCATTCTGGACAGGATTCGCCGTCCACGCCGCCGCGGCCTGGGTCCACTCGAGACAGGAGGCCGCCTGCCCAACAGCGGCCGCTGTTGGTTTGGGGCAGCATTCTTTGTTGGGCATTGTACCCATTCTTTCGGTACCCATTTCGGGTGTCCAAAGTACAGATTTCGTCGCCCTGGCATCCTCCGCAGTGGAGGATCAACCGCCAGTCGCAGGCCTAGAGGTTGACACCAACACCAAGATCGGCGGTGTGCCGCCTCCTCCGAGGGGAGTCGATCCCAATCTCGGTGATGGTGGTAATATTCTGGCTTCCAAGGTGTGTACAGATGTCGTCGCCCTGGCGTCCTCCGCAGTGGAGGATTTCCGTTGCATCTTCGGGGGCCTCGCCTGCCCCCCACATTGGTGTCTTTTTGGGGGGCCCGCCGCGGGCTCGATGTGGGCGGACTCGGCGCGGATTTGGCGTGGGTTCGACGCGGATTCGGCACGGATTCGGAACGGATCCGACGCGTCCGACATGGATTCGACACGGATTCGACGCGGACAGGGCCGCGACGGGACAGACAAGGTCCCCCGAGGATGCAACATAAGAGGATCAACCGTCAGGGGTTTTCTCTTGCGCAACCGCCTGGCTCGAGCCATTTTGGACCCTTTTTTTGATCAATCGCCCACCCCTTGCCCAACGCTGGCATAGACTCGAGGTGCTCCTGTGTAGCACCTACCATGGCCACCATGGTGCGTTTGGCTTTATTCTCCACCGTGGGGGCAACAATCAAAGCTGATGCCGTTGAACCGCTGGCGGGTTTAGTTGCAGAGCGTGCGCGGATACCCGACAATTCTTTGAGGATTAAGGAGGTCCTCAATGCACCTTCAAATAATCCCGGTGCGCCTCAGATTTTGGTCGTTGGTGATTCTTGGGCCGAGGTCACAGCAGCGGGATCTGCTGTGGGTCAGAGTTTCTTCCAGCGTAGTCTAAGCAAATACGGTTGTAAAGCAGGCGTTACGAATATTGCAATTGATGGCAGTACGGCGAGCGAGTGGAGCCAGGGTGCCCTTCTCGAGATTCTGAAGATTGGAGCCAAGAGTCACGATTACGTCTGGATATCTCTTGTGGGAAACGACGCGCTGTTCTTCCTCCCTGGCTGCCTTAAAAAGCCTGCGGAGTGCGTCGACGAACTCCTAGCCGAGGTCACGCCGCAAATGTACAAAATCGTGGATGCCATTCACGAGGCAAATCCCAACGCAAAGGTTACAGGCTTCGGCTATGACACCATGTTCGGTGGAATTGGCTGCTCCTTGGTAACGCACTTACTCTTTCCTCGGTGTTGGCTGCCTGGAGCTGGTGGGAACTCTTGCTTCAACAAGCAGCTGCTGCGCATACAACACCTGTATGACACGATCGCCTCCAACCGGTCCTTCTTCAAGAGATCAAGCATCCTGGGAGCTACACAGGTCGCAGCTGGCGATCCCAAAGCAAGCACTGGCGCTGATCGGCACATCGACATGGACAAGATGGGGCCTGCGAAGTATTGGCCCGACTACGAGCTCTGCTTCCACCCTGGCGTCATCGGTGGAGAGGATAGCGGCGCAAGCGTTGTCATGAACGAGTTTGTCAAGTCTTTCTGGGTTGACGAGCTCCAGTGCTCGGGAGTTCAAACCAGCATTATTGTTTGAAGCCGCGCGCCGCGCAGGTATTGTCGAGCATGAGTTGGATAAGTTCCACTGGGTCGGTAAATTTGGTCCGCCTGCGTTTTTACACAGTTTCTTTCTAGATCGTTTAAAAGTGGCGCTGGCGTGTCCGCCGCGCCACATGCCAGGTGTAAGCGCAGAGGCCGAACTTCAATGCGCCGAATGCGGCCGTTGATGCTGTACATTGCTATCGTGGCTGTGATCGCACTGCCACGTTGACACGTAATCAATATATGGGGTCAGGGCGCCCATCTTCTCAGACCTCTTGACGTGATGTTTGTCGCGACGCGTGTCCCAGAGCTCTCGATCACCCCCCCCCCGACTGGCTGGTCGCCACGGGTACCCTACTTTGTTGCCCTGTCTTGGGGCGAGAGGACGGCCTCCATGCCGCCAAATCGTGGAGATTTGATTTTTGTTCCAACCGTCCTGTGGTGCTGGGTCCTCGTTTCGGAGAGAAGTCGCCCCGCGTCCCTCCTTCCTCCTCCTCCTCCTCCTTGCTCTCCGCGCTCATCGCCATCATCATCATCATCATCATCATCATCATCATCATCATCATCATCATCATCAGCATCAGCATCAGCATCAGCATCAGCATCAGCATCAGCATCAGCATCAGCAGCATCAGTATCAGCATGAGCATGCACATCAGCATCAGCAGCAGCTTCATACTTAGCACCAGCATTAGCATCATCATCTTCAGCATCAGCATCATCATCATCACCATCATCATCAGCATCACCATTACCATCATCATCATCATCAGCATAATCATCATCATCAGCATGAACATCGTCATTATCATCATCATTCGCACCATCATATTCATCACCATCATTATCATCATCAGCATCATCATACTCAGCATCAGCATGAGCATCAGCAGCAGCAGCAGCAGCAGCAGCATCAGCATGACCATGGGCATGAGCATCAGCATCAGCAGCAGCAGCTTCATAAGCAGCACCATCATTGGCATCATCATCAGCATCATCACCATCATCATCATCAGCATCATCATCATCATCACTATCACCATCATCATCGCATCACCATGACCATCACCATCATCACCATCACCATCGCCATCAGCACCAGCACCAGCACCAGCATCAGCATCAGCATCAGCATCAGCATCATCATCATCATCATCATCATCATCATCATCCGGATTAGCATCAGCATGAGCATAAGCATCAGCATCAGCAGCAGCATCATAATCAGCACCAACATCAGCATCATCATCAGCATCATCATCATTATTATTAGCATCACCATCATCGTCATCACCATCATCATCATACTTATCATTACCATCATCATCACCACCACCAACGCCTTCATCACGATCATCACCATCACCACCATCACCATCCCCATCATCGTCATCACCATCATCATCATACTTATCATTACCATCATCATCACCACCACCAACGCCTTCATCACGATCATCACCATCACCACCATCACCATCACCATCATCATCATCATCACCATCATCATCAGCATCATCAATCGCACCAGGACTATCATCATCATCAACAACAACATCATCAGCACCAGCATACTCAGCATCAGCATGAGCATCAGCAGCAGCATCAGCATCAGCATCAGCATCATCATATCGTCATCATCATCACCATCGTCATCACCATCAGCATCGTCAACATCATCGTCATTATTATCATCGTCAGTACGGCACACCTCTCACGAGGATCGTGGCTCCTTTGGGAGCTCCACAGAAGGTTCCAGTGGCAGGGGTTTCATGACGGCTCCGCACCCATTTCGGTACAGGGTCGCATGGCGGCTCCGTGCCCATTCTGTTACCCTCACGAGGGTCGTGGACCCGTAGGGAGCTCCACCTAAGGCCCCAGTTGCTGTGACCACATGCGTCCCCACCACCCTTGGCACACCCCTCACATGTTTCGTGGCCCCATAGGGAGCGCCACCGAAAGCCTCAATGGCTGCGCCCGCATGCGTCCCAGCCACCGATTTCGGTACACCCCTCAAACGTTCCGTGGCATGTAGCTCCACCGAAGAGGATACGCACCACTGCGGTACTCACAACTGCGTACGGTTGGGACCTTCGCCAGGGTAAGTTTGGTTGTTTCGATCTTCGGCGATGCCCGGGAGGTCTGGGCTCTTAGCAGAGGCATCCAAGCCGTGGGGAAGGGCAGGAGGCTGCTTCTGGACATTCTTCGGGCCCCGCCCGGCCATGGCCCCGTGGGCTCTACAAGTCTGCCGAGCCCCAGTGGCTCTCTTTCGCCAACAGAGGGGCTTGGCTGGCCTTGTTTGAGAGCTGTTGAGGCAACTCGCGCTGATCCAGGTGTCTCTCCTCCTCCCCCACCGCCTTCTCCTTTTTTTCTTTCTGTGTAGACTCATCAGATTCTGTGCGCATGTGTGTGTATATATATTTATATATATATATGAGGCATTCCAAGAAGGGCCTTGCCTTCGAGAGTCGAATGAGTTGCCACCTCTTCCCCGGCGGAAAGCGGCGGATGGTCGGTGGAAGGCGGCGGGCGTAAAACGGCGGCGGCTCGGCCGGCGGAAAGCCGGCGAAAGGGCGGTGGAAGTCGCCGGAAGTAAACATCGCCCTTCAAATGATCCCGCCACAGATAATATCCGGATCCCGCCACATATGATACATATATATATATACACATACATATATATGTATACATATACATGTTTATCAAACTATATGTCGATGTCGGTCCTTCTCTTTCTTTCCCCCTTCTGCCTTGAATGCGCGTGCAGGAAGTTGGGGTCGAGGACTAGTAGGAGGAATCGGGGAGTTAGTTACACTGAAGGACAACGAGAGGCGAAGGCGCATGCAGGATGATGATGATGATGATGATGATGATGATGATGATGATGATGATGATGATGCTGATGCTGATGCTGATGCTGATGCTGATGCTGCTGCTGCTGCTGATGATGCTGATGATGATGATGATAATGATGATGTTGATGATGATGATGGTGATGGTGATGGTGAGGATGATGATGAGGATGATGAGGAGGAGGATTACAATGACCAAAGG